CTGAGAGGGGTGGTGGGACCCCTGGCATCACCCTGAGAGGAATGGTGGGACCCCTGGCATTACACTGAGAGGGGTGGTGGGACCCCTGGCATCCTGGGGAAGACCCTTACAGCGGCAAGAGCTGAGCCCAAGTCCAGACCCCCAGAATAGGATCCATCTTGGAGTGCCCCTGGGCCAGGGAGGGGTACAAGGGGGACTCTGGGCAGAGCAGCACTTACAGTCTCACCACGATCTCCATTCTTGCCAGCAGGACCGACAGGGCCGGGGGCACCGGGCGCACCGGGAGCACCAGGGGGGCCGGCAGGGCCAGTCTCACCACGGTCACCCTGTGAGGAGGAAGAGGAAGAGGAGAGGTCAGTGTGGGCCAGCACAACCCCATCACCCCCTACTGTGCCCCCCTCACAGCCCACTCACCTTGGGACCAGCAGCACCATCCCGGCCGGGGGCACCTTCAGCACCAGGAGCACCCTGTGGAGGAGGAAAGACCCTCGTTAGGGATGGTGGGGGGTGAAGAGGGGTCTCTGCTCAGCTCAAGACGGGCCTCTCCATGCACCAGCCACGGCAGCATCCACCAGTGCCACGGCACCAGCCACGGCAGCATCCACCAGTGCCACGAGCTGGCAAGTCCTCAGCACAACGAGCCCAACGCTGACACACGGGGGCGTCGGTGCCACCAAACACCGATGGATGCCCACGGCCACCCACCTCACGTCCAGCTTCTCCGGGGGGTCCAGCCAGGCCGGGGGGGCCCATGGGGCCGGGAGGGCCGCGCTCACCGGGGGAACCGGAGGGACCTTGTTTGCCGGGTTCACCCTGTGCAGGGGAGGGAACAGGGGGTGTCAGACACGGCTGAACATCCCACCCCGCCCACGGGGTGAGCCAGACCCCGGCGGGGCTCACAGCGCTGTCTGTTCCTGGGGACCCCTCCGGTACTCACAGAGGGGCCGGGCAGCCCAGGGAAGCCTCTCTCGCCTCTCTGTCCGGGGAGACCAACGACACCGCGCTGGCCGGCGATACCTTGGGGTCCGGGAGTGCCGGGAGCGCCCTGCGGGGACAAGCAGCGCCTCAGGGTGGTGGCAGCGGCGAAGTCCACCCTCCCTGCGGAGGGGACAGCTAGGGGGGTGACCGGCACAGGGGGTCTGACCGGAGGGTTGACTTACAATGGGGCCATCAGCGCCAGGAGAGCCCTTCTCGCCGGGGGGGCCGGGGGGGCCGGCGGGTCCCGGTTCGCCGGGGCGGCCAGCGGGGCCAGTCTCACCACGGGGTCCTTTGCCACCTTCCTTCCCGCTGGGGCCGGGGGGGCCGGGGAGGCCGATGTTCCCCTGGGCGGGAGGGGAGGCGATGCCATCAGGCAGCAGGCCGGGACCCCCCCGGCTGCCAGCTGAAGGGCGGCCAGGGGTATCCCGGTGCCAGCTGGGACAGGGAGGCCGCGTGGAGCAGCCTGGATGGGTGCCCAGCATCTCCCGTGTTCCCCGTTGCAGGCACCCTCCTGGCCCCCACACCTCTCACCCCCTGGGGGTACTCACAGAGGGGCCGGGGGGTCCAACTCGTCCAGCAGCACCAGGGAAACCAGTAGCACCCTGGAAGGGAGAAAAGCTGGAGTCAGTGGGGTGGGATCCAGGTGTCACAGGGCCAGGGGACTGTCCCCTGGCTGGGAGCCACGGGGGGAACCCCTTGGCTGGTGGCCAAGAGGGCAGGATCCATCTGGAGAGCTGATTTTGTGGGCATAAAAGCAACCCCCTCCCTTTTCCCCTCTGCTTTTCCCCCTCCTGGGATGAAGCCACCCCACATCGATGCCATGTCCCAGGCAGTTTTGGGGTTGCAGGAATGGAAGTGCCCCACGGTGTTGGGGCAGTAGAGCGAGACACAGTGGGGAGTTTTCACGCCCTGGGGGAGGTCCCCAAAACCCCCCATCCCCACAAGACTGGTACTTACAGGGGGTCCGGCGCTTCCGCGAGCACCTTTGGGACCAGGAGCACCAACAGCACCCTGTGGGGGAGGAAGAGGAGGAAGAGGAGGAGGTGAGGGGTGAGCTGTGCCATGGGACTGGACCCCAAGGGGGTGTGGGGTGGGTTGGAAGAACTTACAGCAGGTCCAGGAGCACCAGTGGGGCCAGCAGGGCCGGGGGGACCGGCATCACCCTTGGCACCAGCATCCCCAGTTTCACCTTTAGCACCAGGCTGGCCATCAGCACCCTGTGGGAGACGGAGAGAGGTGGATTCGGGGGGCTCAGCATCTCCCCGGCAGGGGCAGGATCAGACCCCCAGGCAGGGAGGAGCGAGGCTGTTGCACTTACAGGGGGGCCAGCAAATCCAGCAGGACCGGGAGGGCCGGGCTCGCCGCGGTCACCCTGGGAGAGACGGGAGGGAACGGAGTCAGATGAGCAGGGGACGGCCACCAGGGTCACCAAGGGGCGACCAAACAGCAGGGCCATCACTCAGGGTGGGGAGACACTTACGGGAGCCCCACGGGCACCAGTGGGACCAGCAGGACCGGGGGGACCAGCTTCTCCCTGGAAAAGGGGAGGAAAACCCGAAAAAAAGGAGGTCAGGGCTGCGGCGGGGAGGTGGCAGCGTGTGCCGGACACATCCGTCCCCGGTGAACGTCCCTACCTTGTCACCGGGAGCACCAGCGGGGCCGGGGGGGCCGATGGGACCGGTCAGACCTCGGAGACCGTCTTTGCCAGGAGCACCGTCAGCACCTTTGGGACCGGGGTCACCCTGGGGAGGAAGAGGATGGTGGGTTACTGGGGAGGTTACTGGGGTTCGCCCCCTCTTCCCTCTCTCTTGGGTGCACTGAGCCATTCTTGGTTCTTCATCGTCCCTGGGAGAGGCTGGGACCATCCTCCTCCTCACCAGAGCTGGGATCTCAGTGAGAGACTGTTCCCAAGGGCCACACTTGGAGGGGGACAGAGGTGACACTGAGCACCCCCTTCCCCAGGGCACTGCTTCCCCCCAGCCTTGGCTTGGGGGCGCATCCAGCCCTGAGGGGACAATGAGGAGGGGGCACAGGGGTGGTGGGGAACAGGCTACCAATGGGGACATCAAGGTTTTGGGGGCACATCCAGTCCCAAGGGGTTGATGAGGGGAGCACAGGGATAGTGGGGAGCAGAGGAGTAATGGGGACATTGGGGTTTTGGGGACATATCCAGCCCTGAGGGGACTAAGATGGAGCACAGGGGTGGTGGGGAGCAGAGGAGTAGTGGGGACACTGGGGCTCTGGGGGACACATCCAGCCCCAAGGGAATGATGAGGGGGGCACAGAAGTGGTGGGGAGCAGAGGAACAATGGGGACATCAGGGTTCTGGGGGATGCATCCAGTCCCCAGGAGACAATGAGGGGGGCACAGGCGTTTGGGGACACATACCCTGTCACCCTTGGCACCTGGCAGGCCGGCAGCACCACGTTCTCCAGGCATACCCTGCAGACCGGGGGGCCCTTGGCTCCCAGGTGCTCCGGGAGCACCAGCATCACCCTGGGAAAGAGAGACAGAAAAGAGGGATAAGTAAGACCCTGGCACAGCAAAACCCTCGTGGTTCCAGCCTCAGTCAAAGAAGCAAAGCCAAACCCATCACCCTTTACAGCTGCACTCAAAAGTTGGGGACAGTCACCCACCACCCCGACATTCCCAAGCTGGCACCTACCTTAGCACCATCATTACCGGGAGCACCGTTAGCACCACGAGGACCTTGGGGACCGGGGGGGCCTTGGACACCGCGTTCACCAGGGAAACCTCTCTCACCCTGGAGGGGGGAGGCAGGAGAAGGGCCGAGGCCATCAGGGGGATGTCAGGCGCTTTGGGGTACCAAGAACCGATGGGGAGTCCGCGGGGTTCAACTTACCCTGGCACCGGCAGGGCCGGGGGCACCGACATCTCCGGGGACACCCTGTGTGGGAAGGAGAGGGTGTGGAGTCAGAGGAGGCACTGGGGACGGGCAGAGGGGTCCAGAGGGGTCCACAGGGTGCCCCCAGGGGTCTCTCAATCCCTGGGGCAGGGCTGGGATCCCTACTGCTCCCCCACTGCGTGGAGCACATCACCTGGGGGGGGCACTGGGGGGATCCCCCATCAACACCCTCCAGCCCCAGCTGGGAGAGGGGACATGGGAAGGGGACAGGGAGGGTCTCAAGTCGCCCACACACTCACCTGCTCACCAGGCTTGCCAGCCTCTCCGGGGGGGCCAGCGGGGCCGGGCAGACCCTGGGGAGGTAGAAGAGGAGCAATGAACCACCAGGGAGGTGGGAGACCAGAGAGGACGAGGGAAAGGGTAACATCGCCCCCACCCCGGGTGGTTTATCCCCCTCACCTGGAAGCCAGGAGCACCAGCAGGACCTTGTTCACCTCTTTCTCCAGCGGGACCCTGGGGGAGGCAGGACAAGCATTGAGGCTCAGCTTCTGAGCTCCTTCTTCAGTGGCCGAGCACAGCCGTGGGTGGCCAGGGGCTGGGGGATACTCACAGTGGGGCCGGGAGGACCTTGGGCACCAACTTCACCATCTTTGCCAGCAGCACCCTGGGGAAGAGGGATAAGAGGGTACTCAGAGCACGGCCCCGACCTGCAGCCCCCGCAGAGCTCTGTGAGTCCCTCCCTCCCCCCCCCCCCCCGCCTCCCCAAAACAAGGGTGTGGCCACACGGCGTCCTTCGAAGGACGGGAGACACCGCGGGGCAAGTTGCCCACGGCCACGTCACCTCCCTGCTGTCCCCACTCCAAAGCTGCCGGTAGCCACCGGGATGGAGTCCCAAACGCCTCATCCCACTGCCCTCCTCGTCCTTGGGGCTTTCCCTGGCACCGCTCAGCCATCTCACACCCCATCCCTGCCACCCCACACCGGGATGACTCTCCCTGCCACCCCATCCTGGGGTGATGCCCCCTGTCACCTCACACAGGGGTGACTCTCCCTGCCGAGCCCCCACCAGACCGTTTGTGCTCCAGCAAATACTCACCACCGCACCGGGGGGACCGGGAGCGCCTCTCTCGCCAGGTTTGCCGGGCTCACCCTAAAAAGAGAGCAGAATGAGACCTGTGATGACACCGGGGGGGGACGGGACAGGTCCCCTGAGCCATCTGCCCACCACAGCCACCGTCCCAGGTGGTGGCAGTGGCCGTTGGGTGGGATCCCTCACGGACCAGGGTGCAGCATCACCCTGGCAGCCCCCCGAGGGGGGGTGTCACACTCACCGCAGCACCTTTGGGACCAGGGAATCCCATCACACCGGCTTGACCTCTGGCGCCGGGGGGGCCGGGGGGGCCGGGGCGACCGTCTTGACCAGCGGGACCCTGTTATGGGGGGAGCCAGAGCCCCATCAGCTGAGCCCGCGGTGAGCCAAGGGAGGAGGGGACATCAGTGGGGACAGCGGGGACAACTTACAGGGGGGCCAGTCTTGCCGTCGGGACCGGGGCTCCCGGGGCTTCCAGTCAGACCCTGCAAGGGAATGGGAAGTGGGTCAGGAGCTCAGGTATCCCAGGAGATGCTCCAGAGAACGGGAGTATCCTGGAAAGCAGCTTCTCTGTTGGCACGGGGTGTGACAGCCGGCATCCATCAACGTGGCTCGTTGCTGCCGCTGCCACCGTGTCACCGTGCCCGCCACCCTGCCACGCTCACCTTGGCACCGGGGAGGCCGGGTTCCCCGGGGCGTCCAGCTTCACCAGGAGATCCTTTGGGGCCGACGGGGCCGGGGGAGCCGCGCTCGCCGGGGGGACCCTGGGAAGGGTGGGAGAGGGGACAGGGGTTACTCTGACTGCGGGACAGCACCCGGGGGCAGGGCAGGAGCAGTGGCAGCGGCACAGAGCCGGTCTGGCCACTGCTTGGGACAGGTGACAATGCTCAGCGTCCCCATAGCCCCTATGACGCGACTTTTTCATCCAAACAGACACGGGCACCCACCTTGGGACCAGCGATGCCATCAGCGCCAGGGAAACCGCGGCTGCCGGGAGCACCCTGCGGGGGACACCAGAGGGGTCAGAGTGGGGACACGGGGTGGCCTCGGGGGGCTTGGGGGTGCAGGGGAAGGGTGTGCCGGTGTGGGACATGGCCACTGGTGGGAGTAGCCTGAGGAGGGGCTGGGGATGTCACCACGGTGTCGTCGAGCACGCACAAAGGTTGGACAGCACGGGGACGGGGATGGGGACAGGGACATGGCAGGGAGGGGACAGGGATGATTCTACTCACACGTTCACCAGCAGGGCCGGGAAGCCCAGCGGGGCCAGGCTCACCACGAGCTCCTCTCTTGCCTTCCTCACCAGCAGGGCCGGGGGGACCTTGGACACCAGCGGGACCCTGGGGGAGGAGACAAAGGGATGAGCACCCACAGGATGTGCTGGGGCCAAGAGGGACCGAGACCCCAAGGTGACATTGGGGAATCACTTACGGGTTCGCCTTTGGCACCAGTGTCACCCTTGTTGCCTGGAGCACCGGGCTCACCCTGGAAGTGGATGGAGAGAAGAAGGAAAAGACATTTAACACCAGATTGAGGAGCAGAGGGAGACCTGAGCTGCATCCTAATCACCCCTCAGAGGCAGGAGGGTGCTCAGCATCTGTCACCCCCCGGCACCACCCTGCCCTGACAGGGACCGGGGGACACCAGAGGAGGCACCTCCAGGTAGGACATCAGCTTGCTGGAGCAGAGAAAGGGATCCAACCCCAGGAAGAAGAAGATGGAGGTGTCCAGGGATACTCACAGCGTTACCCTTGGGACCGGGGGCACCACTGGGACCCTGGGGTCCGGAGGGACCACGGGCACCGGGGAAACCAGGAGCGCCAGCAATGCCAGGAGCACCCTGGAAGAGGCAGAGGAGGGTGTGAGGAAGCAGCACAGCCCTTCATCCTGGAGCTGGAAGGGGAAGCGAGGGACACTCACAGTTGCACCCTTGGCACCAGGTTGACCATCAGCACCAGGATTGCCCTGTGGAGAGAAAGAGGAAGAGGAGGGTTATGGCGGGGCTGGCAAGATGTGAGGTCAAAGGACAAGGAGCCATCAGATGTCACTTACAGCAGGACCAGCAGCACCAGCAGGGCCGGGGGGACCGGGCTCACCACGGGCACCTTGGGGACCTTCACTGCCACGAGCTCCCTGGGGACCAGTTTCACCCTGGGGAGGAAGAGGAGGGAGGATAAGCCATGAGCATGAGGGTTTCCCTGATCCCCAACATGGCTGACCTCCCCTCCATCTGCAGCTCCTTCCCCATGGAGGCAAAGCCAGGAGAGATGCCCACGGGACTTGTTTGGGAACATCCCCATCTGTCCCAAGCAGTGGTCAGCTCACGGCATTTTGGGCTTGGGAACCTATGCCGTGCTCAGTCCTCTTCCCCATCCCACTCTCCCAGTTCCCACCAGTTTCTCCCAGCCCAGGAGATGTTCAGGCAGGTCCTACCTTAGCACCAGCAGCACCAGGGAAGCCGGGGGGACCAGCAGGACCAGTTGGACCCTAAATGGGAGAGAGGCTGCATGTCAGAAGAGGGATCCCACCTCCCACACCTGGCACTGGTGGGATTTCCAGGCAGCAGAGCTCTGGCTGCCATCTGGGATTTCCGTGGTGCAGCTGGGATGGGATCTCTCTCTGGAGAAACTGGAGGTGATTCCAGGTTCTGGAGAAGGGTGAATGGGTTTGGGGTTTGAGGTTACTTACGGGGGGACCGGCAGCGCCAGGAGCACCATCGTTGCCACGAGCACCCTGTGGGTGAGGACACATCCATGAGTGATGCCCACAGGTTGGAGAGGTGACCCCCAGCCCCCCAAACCCCAGGCAGGGGGTCTCAGCCCTGCCCAGATCAAATACTCACAGCAGGGCCGGATGGACCAGGACGGCCTCTCTCGCCAGGAAGACCACGAGGACCCTTGGGAGGGGACAGGACATGTTTAGGACATGTTTAGGTCACCTAGGTGGGCACTTACCTCTTTCTGAGCCTCCTCCTATCCCTGTGCCCCCTGTCTCTCCCCAGTCCTGCCCACAGTGACATTTCCAAGGGGTTAATCCCCCTCCCGCCCTGGTGAATCCCTGGGGAAGCATCCCTGAGGATGAGCTGATTCCCCATCAGGTCTTGACCCCCACCCCCATCCCCTCTTGCCCATACCCCCCCACCACGCCCCTCAGGGGTCCAGCACTCACCATTTGCCCAGGAGCACCGTTCTCTCCAGGGCTGCCGGGCTCACCCTAGGAGGGGGGAAGGACAACATGAGGGACCTGCTCTGGAGGGAGGAGGGAACAGCGAGGACATTCCAAGGACAGGGGTGACACTGCCACCACTCCTCACCTTGGGGCCAGCAGGTCCAGGCTCACCCTTGGCACCATCCAGACCACTGAAGCCCTGGGTGGCAAGAGAGAGAAGGGGTGGGAGGTCAGGAAGGGATCTTTGGTGATGCTGGAATCCCACATCCCCTAAATCACACAAGCACTGGAGGGGGGACTCACTCTGTGTCCCTTCATGCCTGGCAAGCCAGCAGTGCCTGGGAGACCACGGGCACCCTAGAAGGAAAGGGGAAATGATCATGGAGATGTTGTGGGGACTGTCCCTGCACCCCATTACCCCTGCCCCCAAGGGGCAGAAAGCTGGTGTCACCCGCAGAACACAGTAGGGTGTCCCCTCCTGTGTCCCTGTGTCCTGAGGGGCCACCTCACCTGGGGGCCGGGGGGACCACGCTCTCCGGGGCGGCCGGGCTTTCCAGCTTCACCCTAGGGAGAAGGACACCAGGTTGGTGGCATGTCCCCAAGCCAGGCAGCTCCTGCTCACCTGGAGGGGCTGTCAGGGCCACCGGGCCCCAAACTGAGGGGGGACTCCACGGACAGGCCACTTACGTCATCTCCGTTCTTGCCAGGGGGGCCAGCGGGACCACGGGGACCCATGGGACCCTAGGAGAGATGTAGGGCAGCAGTGAGGATGTTGTGGGTGACAGCTGTCCGCTGTCGCCCTGCCACCCACCCTGGGCAGAGTCAGGCTCTGCCAGCCCCGTTCCCACGGATCCCAAAGCAGGGACAGTGTGGCCACAGCCAGGGCTGGGAACCAGTAGCATTGTCCCCATGCCCAGAGGACATCAGCTGGAGCAGGAGGTGGCAAGACTCACAGAAGCACCAGGCTCTCCAGGTTCACCAGGGGGACCTTGGAAACCTTGAGGACCCTGAGGGGAAAAAAGGGGGGAAAAAATGAGAAAATGGGTTAGAAAGTGAGAAGTTTGGGCCTGAAGCCCCCAGTGACCATGGAAGTGTCCTCCAGTATGGTGGCATGAGGACGTGTGTGCCCACGTGCTTCCGTAGCTGCCAGGAAGGATGAGACATCCCCCAGCCCATCCCACCCAAAGGGGCCTTGGGGGTTTCTTGTCCCCAAAATCAAGGGGAGAGGAAGAGGAGACACTCACAGGAGCACCGGGAGGGCCAGGCAGACCACGGGGACCGGCTGGGCCCTAGGGGAGAATGGAAAAGTGAGGAGGGGGTGCCTTGTCACCCTCTCTCTATTGCCAACCCTTCCCTGTCCCCATCAACACCCCACTGCTGCACCCAGTGAGCCTCACTGCCACCCCACCACCATCCCACTGCTCTGCACATCTCCACTCATCACTGCCCCAAAACCACTCCCTCCTTGTCCCCATCACCCCCATTCCCTGTCCCCACTGCCACCCCATCCCTGCCCCTATTGCCACCCCATCACTGTGCCCATTGCCACCCCCACACCATGCCCCCATCCCTGTTCCCATCTCCATCCATTCCTTGTCCCCATTGCCACCTCATCCCTGTCCCCATCCCTGTCCCTGTCTGCATCCCTGTCCCTCTCCCCACCCATTCCCTGTGCTTGTCCCTGACCCCATTCTTGTCCCTATACCCACCCATTCCCTGTCCCTATTGTCACCCCATCCCTGTTCCCATCACCCCCCATTCCCTGTCCCCAGTGCCACCCCATCCCTGCCTCTACTGCCACCACATCACCACCCTGACCCCGTTCCCCTCCCTGTCCCCATCACCCCCCATGCCCAGTTCCTCATTGCCACCCCATCACCGTCAGCTTTGACACTCCATCACCATGTCCCCCCCCATTGCCACTCCATCCCTGTCCTCACTGCCACCCCATCACCATCCTGACCCTGTCCCCATCCCCTCCAGGCCCAACATCCCTCCCCAGTCCTCCCATCTCATGACACTCAGTGGCATCATCAACACGTGAAGCACTTCTGGCACCTCACCCAGCTTGACCCTCCACCCCCCGTGCCCCCTCTGCCCCCCGTGCCCCTTGTGCTCCCCCATGTTCCCCTGTGCCCCCCTGTGTCCCCCCCCCATGTCCCTCCCCATGCTCACCATGGGCCCAGGCACAGCCATCCCCCCGGCTTTCTCATCGTAGCCGTAGGACATTTGGGGAGCGAAGTTCTGTGGGAGGAGAGAGAGAGCAGGGGGTGAGCAGGGCGTGGGACCCCCGGGGGGGGCTGCATCACTGAGGACCCCCCATACTCACTCCGCCGAGGCCTGGGGGCCCTGGAGGGCCTGGGGGTCCCGGGAGACCAGGCTGTCCAGGGATACCATCTCTGCCAGGGGGGGCCGGGGAGTCCCTGGGGGGAGAGAAGAGGAGGGTGAGCCCCAGCAGGCCGGGGGTCCCAGGGGTGATGCCTACCCTGGGGCAGGGGTGATACCCACCCTATCTCCTTTGGGGCCGGTGTCTCCTTTAGGACCCTGTGGTGGAGAGATAAAACAGATGGTTAGAAAAGGGGGTCTCCAAAAATACGGGGGGAGGGGGGATGTCGGGAGGTTTTGGGGGATTAATTTTGGGGAAGCCTTTACCTCTACTCCAGCACTTTCTGGGTAGACAGGGGAGGCTGTGGGAGGAAAAAGGGGCATTCAGAGCAGCCCAACATCACCCACCAATCCCACACCCACCCAACAGCCCAGACATGGGGAGTGGGGGGGACACTGAGCCCCACTGGTCCTCAAGGACCCCCTGGACGGATAACTCGGCAGTCGGAGAGC